CAAAATGGATTTTAAAAGTCTAATTTGTAAGCTGTATATTTTATCTAGGTAAGTGTGGAATGTTCACCCATATATACTAATACCATATGACACGTTACACTAGATTTCACTTGAGCGTTATATAAGCTTAAACGAATTTAAATGGAACTGTATTACGAACGTAAATTAAGAGAGCCCAGACTGCTCTTTTCTATTAGTTACAGTTAGAAGTTACAATCTGGATGATACTCTGAAACATGTCCGGTTTCCGTGCTGGTCGTAGTACGGCTACTGCCTTAGTCAAGATTACAGAAGATATTCGTCTTAGTATGGATAAACAGCAAGTAACAGTGTTTACATTACTTTACTTTAGCATTGCATTTAACAATGTGGATTTCAATCTACTGTTAGCTAGCTATCTTAGCTTCTCTTAACATATCTCCTGAAGTGATTTACTGGTTTGTTTGGTTGCCGGAAGCGGACACACGTTGATGACTCATTCTCCAACTGCTTAATTAGCTTAAGGCCGCGAGCCCTGAGACAGATTGAGCTGTAAGAGTCGCATAGACTAACAGCACTAACATCTAGATAATAGTAGTAGTCTCCAACTGGTGTACGATTAATGCCGGTGTACCACATGGTGGCGTGTTGTCTCCTCTCCTCTTTTCAATCTTCATAAGTTCGATTACGCTCCAATCATCTTCTCGCTACCACCTGTATGCAGATGATCTCCAAGTATATGTGCATGCTAAATTGATGGATTTACTTAATATTACAGGCTTATTAAACAATGATCTTGACTTAATTATGGATTGGAGTAAGTCACATTGTCTTGAAGTAAATCCATGAAAAACAAAAGCAATAATAATAGGCAGTCAAAAATTTGTTACTCGTATAGATTTTTCTTCTCTACCTAGTATTGTTTTTAATGGCACACCTGTGCCATATAGTGACACCATTTAAAATCTAGGTGTTACTTTTGACAAATTTTTATCTTGGGCTCCGCTGGTAAGTGAGGTGAGTAGGAGGGTGTTTGCGTCGGTCGGATCTCTCCGTGGATTAAGCAATTTCCTACCAATACCTACCAAAATAACGTTTGCACAATCACTCCTCTTACCTATTCTAGATTATGCTCATACATGTTATGCCAATTTAAACGAGGAGCTACATAATAAGCTTGAGCGCATTCAAAACCTTTGCATACGGTCCATACTTCGACTTACGAAACGAAACGAAGTATGACCACATTTCTGAATATCGCGTAAAACTCAAGTGGCTGCCGGTCCGTCTTCGTAGGAATACACACATTCTTTCTCAATTATACTGTATTCTATTCAATTCCACTTCTCCTGCTTACCTTAAAGAGCGGTTTGAGTTTATTGGTGACATTCACTGTCGCTCTCTTCGATCTGATAAAAACCTCACCCTAAAAATCCCATCCCATAACACTTCCTTCTATTCTAAATCCTTTTCTGTTGAAGCTGTTAGGCTCTGGAACTCCCGACCGCTGCACATTATAAGTGCACACTCTATCAAAAAATTTAAAAAAAAACTTGTCAAAGTGCACTTCTTTCCTCCTTAAATAGTTATTCCTCTAAAACAAAAAAAAAAAACGAAAAAATACCTACCTACTTATTTTTCCTTACGTTAAGGCTTTGAAACACTTGTTTAATCCTTTCTGCTCTCGTATATGTATGTCTATATTTTTTCATTTAAAAGTATTTATTCATTATATTATGTTTGTATTTATCGACGATATAATTATGTTTAATTTTATGTCGTGTGTATTTTTCAACAACTTAGGTACACCCTAGCCGTTCTCACAGGTCACTTTATTACTTACTTTTACCTCAGCAATGGTTACCTGGTAAAGATCGCTTCTAAGCGATTAGGCTGGCGGCCGTATCGGTTTTTTTTGATGTGCCTTTGTTGTGTTGCATTGTAACTTTAAATAATTCATGTTTTTTTTCTCTCATATGTATTTCAGGTGTACAATAAAGTATATTTCATTTATTCATTCATACAATAACGAATTTACCGCGCAAATATTTATTACTTATATGTATAGCGAAGTATGTATGTTGTGGAAAATTTAGGAAAATTAAATCTTTATAAAAACACATTATTTAAATTGTTAGCCTTGAATTCCTTATTTACAAAGTATATCTAAAACGGAATTTTTGAAATTGTTTATTTTGTTATTGAATATATGGATAATTTTTTTGTAGAGGCGATACATTCTTACTAGAAAATTATGATACGTATTATTTCCATAAACTTGCAAAGCGAAAGTGTTTAGGAAAGTTTAAAGACGATGGGGTTTAGTATTAAATAAAAAGTGTGTGTGTGTGTGTGTGTGTGTGTGTGTGATTGGATCAAAAAGCGTCTGAAGAGACCTCGCTGAACTTACTTAGATTCCCTGTGAGTAAAGACCAAATCGGCATGGTAGATTCAGAAAAAAAAATCAAAAATTTGAGTTTTTCTAATTTAATTTTTTTTGGAATTACTTCAACACTCTAGTTTTGATCAATTTTATGAACTATCCAGTTCTTTAACATAAAAATCTCCGTCCGTAGCTGCAAACCACATCGAAATCGGTCGATTCGTTCTAGAGATATTGTTGTCGAAAGAAATCTCGAAAAAGTGTTTTTTAAGTAACTTAAAAAATTTAAACGTGTTTTATCCTGAACCTGTTACGATTAAACAGCTCTTACTTACTAACTATCGGGTAAAATTTAAAGCACTTTGCTTATGAAATTAGTGGCAAAAGATTATTAAATTAGTGGCATCCCTCCAACGGTAAATGGGTTCTAATGGGTTAACAAAACGCCAGAAAAATTTTATATCATCATCTAGAGGAGATTCGACAGACGAAACAATTTTTATAGTCATTACTGATATGTTTTTTAAGCCTGTTACATGACATGGAAAATGTCCCGAGGATTGTTATACTTTTGAAAGGATAATGATATATCCGTTTTTCTTTTAAGCTTTGCCCTAGGGCAGGTGTGAAACGAACCGGATATTTTTTATATTTATTTTCGTCATAGGTGTATGTTTTGTATAATAATACTCATGACCTTCGCATAAAATGCGTCAGTTATGCTAAATTCGCAAGGTCGTGAAATGGCACAAATATATAAAATGCGCAAGGTAGTTTTTATTATTCAACCACGTTCCAATCCATGATATCCCACATCAGCGCCGAGGCCATAGCCGCCGCCATGTCCCCCAACACTTCCACCCTGTCCCTAACCTCCATTTCTGGATTCTTCCATTTGTGGCCTACAAATGGAAGAACCCTTGTTGAGACATCATTTCAGCCGGGTAAGGTAGCGCTAATACATATGCCAAGCATACAGACATTGAAATAGCAAAACACAGGAGCTGTAAGTAAAATAGTTTTATAAATATCTGAAAACTTTTACGCTGAATATGTTTAATAATAATAATGTCCTCCAGACCGAATTTCGGTCACGGCGGCCAGCCTCAACGGAGGATAGCCATCGGCACAGGACAGGATTATAGTGGCCAAGTATATGCGCAAGCACAGGTGCACTCTCTATTACCTCACTCTCATAATCCGATGGGACGGTAAACCGACACGACCGGAGAGAGATCAGGCGCAGGACCAACGGCTTTACGTGCTTTGCGAGGCACGGGGGTCAGACACCGCCAACTTCCTGACTCCGGGCAGCTACTGAGAATTCTTGATAGAAAAACTCAATATTTGATTTTTGGCCTGACCCGGGATTCGAATCCAGGACCTCATGATCAGCAGTCGCACTACTACAACCACAAGACCAACGAGGCAGACAATATGTTTAGTGTAAATATATAAATATAAAATAACATTAACATTTTAGTGTTTGAGCCACGCTGCACTCTAATATTCCTACAGCACGCATATTCAAACTGTGCTCCAAATGTACTTGTTTGGACACTGCATCCTTGCTACCTCCGAAGTTATTGCAGAATCATTGCTTTGGCTACAAGTTGATTTCACTTGGTAATATGAGCTTATGTAATACCTTCGGATAAATGATAATGTACCAGGCCACGGTCTTCACGGCACCAAAAGATTAACATCTCAGGAGTAGCACTATTGTTACCATAATGCCAAGTGAATGTCCATCATGATTATCATCTTCATCATCATTACAGCCCTTCACAAGTCCACTGCTGACATAGGCCTCCCCCAAGTAATGCCACAAAGCACGGTCCTTAGCCACCTGCATCCATCGACTTCCTGCATGGCTTACTAGGTCTTCACTCCATCTAGTGGGGGGGCGCCCTACTCTACGCCTACCCGTACGAGGCTGCCACTCGAGAACCTTTCTTTCCCATCGCTTATCGGTTCTTCGAGCTATATGGTCGCCCCATTGCCACCTCAGCTTACTAATCCGTCGGGATATGTCGGTCATTCTGGTTTTACTGCGGATATCCTCATTTCTGAATCTATCACGCAGAGAAACTCCGAGCATAGCCCTCTCCATAGCTCGCTGAGCGACCTTGAGCGTTTTCATACGGCCAGCAGGCAACACGCACTGGTTATACAATCTAGTTTTCAGAGTTTGAGGTATACCTGACGAAAATATGTGTCGTAATTTCCCGAACGCTGCCCAGCCGAGTTGAATCCGTCGATTGACCTCTCGGTCGAAGTTGGACTTACCTAGTTTATTATTAATTAAAAGTAAATTATTATTCTAATTAATTGATATATTTAATCATTTGTAACAATTCCCTTGTATTTTATTAATTATTCCATTATGTTCAAGGCCATTGAATCAGACCGACAACGAAAAATCCTTCGTCGACGATTTTAGCCGATGTGGTCAAGTGAAAGAATCTGGTACTTTGGTGGCCCGGCCCAGCCATAAAAACAATACTAAAGGCGACGAAAACATACATAACCGGTTATTTTTCTAAGTCGATATAGTTAGTCAGAGGCAGAAGTAAAGCGGTATAAATAGGACTTCATGAACAGCTGCCGTCATCATTGTTAAAGGTGACTTGCCAAAATGAAAACTGTAAGTCAACATACTCTCATTATTTGTTTCATATTTACCGAAATATAATTGCGGCAGAATTTATTTATTTTTAAAAATGAACAACAATCATTTTATTAACCAAATAATAGATCCCTTACATATGAAATTGGCGTTTTGTACGGCAGGAATATGAAGTCAATTTTTTTTGGAAAATATATTTCATTAATCAAAGTATGCACCGTTGTTATCTATGCACTTTTGCCATCTCATAGGTAGCTTTCATTGAACCCTTTACTTAAAAAAACATGGGGGCGAGAATCAATAAACTCTTTGAAGGCGGTTTAGACTGCCGCATCGGAGTTGAATTTTTTCCTTGTAAAAAGTTGTTCAAATTCCGTAAAAAATTGTAATTTGTTGGAGCAATGTCCGAGCAGTACGATGGATATCGCAGAAATTTCAATTGTAACTCATCTAACTTAGTGGTTGTTTGTTGTGCAGTGTGTGGTCTTGCGTTGTCTTGAAGCATCAGTGGTCTAGAGCGATTGACCAATCTCGGTTGTTTAGCAGCTAGTTATTCTTTTATGGTTTGCAGTTGCTGACAATAGGTATCTGCCGTAATCGTTTGGCCAGATTTTAGTAAGCTGTAGTGAACGATACCGGCGCTAGTTCACCAAACACTCACAAGTAACTTTTTCCGAATCAATTTTCGTTTAGGGCAGGATTTGACTGGGTTTCCAGGGCTTAGCCATTGCAACGAGCGCTTCCGATTTTCGTACAGTATCCACTTTTCATCACAAGTAATGATTCGATTTAAAATCCCTTCCTTTTTGTGTCGGTTGAGCAAAGTAACACAGTAGTCGACGCGTGTTTGCAAGTTCGATTCACTCAATTCATGAGGTACACATCGCTTAAGTTTTTTTACTTTCCCAATTTGCTTCAAGCTGATTAATTCAGTTTTATCTTCAATCTTTGGTCTTCGGCCGTCCACGGGGTTGGTTCTGAAGCTCGAAACCAGAACGAAAACGTTGAAATCGAAAATATACCGTGCATTCTTTTGCGACACCAGCGCCGTAAACATCATTAATCCTTCAAGCTGTTTCTGCAGCACTGGTGCCACGGTAGAACTCGTACTCGTAAATATACCGATATTTCATGTTTTTTATTGTACGGTAATAAGCGACGTCAAAGAAAAAAATTGCGGAAAAAACAAATGAATAACAGTCATTCAAACTCAAATGTACCAGTTAAGAAATTTTTAAATTTGAATTTGGAATTCTTAACTAAAATAGAGATATTTCAGATCAAAGTGGTCAGTACGACAAAACGCGAATTTCATATGTAAGGGCCCAATAATATAAACTATTTTTCAACCGACTTTGAAAAACCGATTTTGATGATTCTTTTTTTTATTTAAAAGCTGGTGTTTGTGTGATCCCATATAAATTTGGTCAATGTCCGACCAGACGTTTTTAAGTAATCCTTAATAATGCATATTTAATAGCCTTCGATTATATTAATGATATTCTGATTTTATTTATATTGAAGTCGGATGTATACAATTTTAATTTTACCACATGTTTCAAATAAGGTTGATAAGCGAGCACACAGACCGTCTAAGCGTTAGTGGATACTGTGACCTATAGTGATCTATTATCAATTAAGAAGTAAACTGCAAGTGCGCGCATGCAGCGCCCTGAGGAATAGAGATGAAATGCCTCATTACCAGTTAAAATGGTATTCGGTACTCGTTACTAACCATACGATTTTCCGCTATTGGCTGCTATTTCACGCTGGTACTTTATGCGAGTGTTTTCGTTCCCCGGTTTAGTCAACCGATCCATGCTACAGGAATATTAGAATATGGCGTGGATCAAACACTAAAAAGTTAATGTTGTTACACTAAGTATATTCGGCGTAAAAGTTTTCAGATATTCATAAAACTATTTTACTTACAGATTCTGTGTTTTGCTCTTTTGATGTATGTATGCTTGGCATATGCATTCGCGCTACCGTACCCGGCTGAACTGGTAGATCAACTAGAAGGCCTGGAAGCGGTAGAATCCATAAATGGAGGTTGGGGACATGGAGGAAATGGCGGGGGACACGGCGGTGGCTATGGCCATGGCGGTAGTGGGGGACGCGGCTGAAAAACAAAAAGTACTTGGCGAATTTCACGTATTTGTGCCATTTAAATTTTCATTTGTTTTATTTATTATTATTTTATTATGTGATTTTTATTTGATTAAACAATAATATTACTTTAATATGTTCGAATTTATTACCTTATTTAGTGTCGTAAGAGCACCTTCTTCCCAGACGGAGGGAAATGCAACAAGATAGGTGGAAATGTTTTCTTTAATATTTTTAACTGCTCAGATATGCTGGCTACTTCGCGATTTTTCTTTAGCACCGGGAACATGGTAAAGTGATTGATCAAATAGCAGTTAAAATTTGGGTAGTGTTGTTTGGACTGACTTGATTACTGCCTTTGAAAAGTGGCTTTCAACATTCTATCAGTGCAGTTTTACTCACAGTTAAAATTAAAATAAACCTGTGTTTTGGTAAAAGTTTTCTTTCATGTGAGCTATGTAACCAGGTATGTTAAAAATTAATGTGTCTGAAAATATAAAAGCTATGTTAATAAATTACAAACTGTTTGATAAGTCTCCAGATTAAAAACTTAAACGAATAAATAATATATACTCCGCTGCTACCATAACGCGGAAGGCGAGAATAAATAAAAAAAACATTTTATTTCCTAATTATTCTTGGCTACTGAGATACTGCGGACTGTATATAGATAATATGACGTTCTTATAAAGAAACAAGAAGCAGCCGCAAATATCATTCAGCGCCACACCGACTTCACACGCCGCTATCGTCACGTATCCGTCGACCAATGGTGAGCCGTTTCTTCAACGCCGCAGTTCGTTTCCTCTTGCTGTTCCGGAGCTGTATTCCACACCGCCACCACCCGCCGACTACGCGTGCGCACCGATCTGCATGTCTTATATAGCCCGGTCCAGCGACGTAGCTTCGTGAACAACAAACAAGTCTCACGCCGGGAAACGAAACGTAGATAATTGTATATTTTAAATAGTTTTCATTGGTCATAAAATAAGCAATATAATTGGCTAGGCAAAATATTAATTGTTACCATTGGCAAATCAATAGTGAGCCAGCCATATAAATATAGGCAAGGTTGATGCAAAAGATATTCCATTCCGAATCCCATTCGACAGTACATTCATAAACATAAACAGTAGTTTCATTTCTCCACCTTGAAGAAAACCACTCGGAGTCTGTTAATAGTGGACAGTTCGTCTCCACTATTACAGTGGTGACCCCGTACGAACACCGAGGGGGAAGATCCGGTACGAACACCAAGAAGGAACACCCTGCGACGTACCACTACTATTGCACGAACACCGCGAAGGAAACCCGTACGAACACCGAGAAGGAAGACTTCAGTTTATATAAAATCAGTGTAATCAAGCCGTCATTATGGAGCAGGAGGCAAACACATATACATCAAACCCGGTAAAGGAACCAGAAATCGCCGGTATATCTCTATCGTTAAGAATACCACCGTTTTGGAGAGACAAACCACGACTTTGGTTCGTCAGTTTTGAAGCCGCAACGAATGGTTTAAAGAAGAGCCAAGCGCAATTAGCACAGATGGTGATAGCCCAACTTGAGAAACAAGACATCGAACAAATTGCGGACCTGTTGTACAACCCACCAGCAGTCGACCAGTATAATTCACTGAAGGATCGTCTGATCTCCGCATATGAAGAATCCGACAGTCGACAGCTACAAAAACTTCTATCAGAAATAGAACTTGGAGACCAGAAACCCACACAACTCCTACGCAAAATGCGTACTTTGGCGCGAGATAAAGTTCTGGATTCAACACTACGGCTAATGTGGGTAAACCACCTACCACCACATATTCGATCGGTAATAGCAGTCAGCGAAACATTCAGCACGCAGACGAAGCTCGACGAACTGGCACTCCTGGCGGACAAGATGATCGAAAACAGCAGTAGCTCACACATATCGATCATCGAAGGCACTTCAACAAAGGCCAATGATACCCAGTTTCTTCTCGAAGAAATTCGGAAGCTATCATTCGAAGTCGCCGCGCTCAAAGCTTCCCAGCATCATACCTTTTACCAGCAACAGTACAACCAGCGCAATCAGCAACACCGAAGATCACCTTTTCGTCGCAACCGCTCTGCAAGTAGAAGTCGAATAAGCTCAACATCAAGATCCCCTTACTGCTACTATCATCGACGTTTCGGGGTCGAGGCAAGAAAATGCACAGCACCGTGTACATTCAAAAATGAAAATACGAATACGGAAAAAAAACTAGTACGCTCGATGCGACGGGATCCAGCGTAACAGCAAAGTCCTACCGTCTTTTCGTCACCGATAAAAAAAGCAAGCTTACTTTCCTTATCGACACCGGAGCAAATATCTCAGTGTTACCGCCGAAGCAAGGACAGAAGTTGAAGCCACTAGATTTTCAACTCTATGCAGCAAACAATACGGTTATTCCTACATATGGAGAAAAAACAATGGAACTTGATTTTAATCTACGCCGACCATTCAAATGGAGATTTATCGTCGCTAAAGTCAGCAAACCAATCATCGGTGCTGATTTTCTTCAACATCACCAGTTGGTCGTCGACATCAAAAATAGAAGAATCATCGACGGGAAAACCAATCTTGCATCTCAGTCTTTTGTACAAGCAACCAATCTGCCCACAATAAGAAGCATAGATGTGCAACAACCGTATCACAAGATCCTCGAAGAATACCCCTGGTATCACAAGAATAACTTCAATGAAATTAACACCGAAGAACGACGTTGAGCATTTCATCGACACCAATGGACCACCACTTCATTGTCGTGCACGTCCAATCGCACCACACCTATACGAGCAAGTTCGAAAGGAATTCGAAAACATGATTGAGCAAGGAATATGCCGTCCAAGCAAAAGCCCTTGGTCATCACCACTTCACATTGTACCGAAAAAGAACGGAGAATTACGAGTTTGTGGAGATTACAGAAGACTGAATTCTATTACCACTCCTGACCGCTACCCAATACCGCGAGTCAGGGATTTCACTCATCAACTATCAGACAAGACTATATTCTCCACCATCGATCTCAACAGAGCTTACCAAGTCCGCGATGAAGACATAGAGAAGACAGCAATAATTACCCCAATGGGATTTTTCGAATTCCCAAGAATGATCCCAGGATTAAAGAACGGAGGTCAAACTTTCCAAAGATTCATACACGAAGTACTTCATGGACTGGATTTCGTTTTCGCATTTATTGATGATCTCCTTGTTGCAAGCCCTGATAAAGAAACGCACGAAACCCATCTACGCACCGTGCTACAGCGATTAGAAGACAACGGAATCACAATCAACCCTTCGAAATGCATATTTGGACAGCAAGAAGTTCAATTTCTTGGTTTCACCGTCAGCAAGGAAGGAAAAAAACCGCCTGCCGAAAAAGTCAGAGCAATCATCGATTATGCAAAACCTAAAACTATCGAAGAGCTAAGGCGTTTTCTTGGGATGATAAATTTTTACAGAGAACACATACCTAAAGCCGCTGAAATCCAAGCACCACTTCACGCCTACCTCCACAACACTAAGAAAAAAGATAAAACGTCAATCGAATGGAACGATGAAGCCACGAAGGCATTTGAAGCTTGTAAAATTGCGATCCAAAATGCAGCTTTACTCGCTCACCCATCACACGAAGCAACCCTTGCTATCTTCAGCGACGCATCCGATCTCTCAGCAGGAGCAGTTCTCCAACAATACAGCAATGGGAAATGGCAACCACTTGGATATTTTTCGAAGAAGTTCTCCGATACTCAACGTAACTACAGTACATTCGACCGAGAGCTACTCGCTATTTACATGGCTATCAAGCACTTCAGAAAAACGTTCGAGGGTCGAAACCTGATCGTTTTTACCGACCACAAACCATTAACATATGTACTTCCAAAGAAACCATCACTATCGGAAACACCACGAAGAGCAAGACAACTTATTTTCATAAGTGAATTCACGACCGACATACGTCACATCAGTGGAAAGGACAACGTAGTTGCCGACGCACTCAGTCGCGTACCAATCGACAGTGTAACGTGCCCTACATCAATCGACTATCATAAGATCGCCGCAGCACAAGACAGAGATAGTGACAACATAAAACATCTAGCGAAGCAAGGTAACTTGTCCATCAAGCAAGTTACAATGCCAATGACGCATCTACCTATATACTGTGAAGCCTCAACGACAACCATGCGACCATACATACCAGAAGAATGTCGTCGCGAAGTCTTCAATGCACTGCACAACATTAGTCATCCAGGTGTTAGAACAACAAGAAAACTCATCACTGAAAAATTCTTTTGGCCTGCAATGCAAGCGGATGTTGGCAACTGGGCGAAGCAATGCATTCAATGCCAAAAATGCAAAGTACAAAGGCATACATCAAGTAGTCTAGCTACATTTCCACCCACGGAGAGATTCGAACACTTGCACGTTGACATCGTTGGACCATTACCTACTTCACCGCAAGGACATCGTTATCTCGTAACAATGATCGACAGAACAACAAGATGGCCAGAAGCAATACCTACCGATGATACTTCAGCCGAATCCGTCGCGAAGATAATTTATGAAAATTGGATTACTCGTTTCGGATCACCTAAAACCATCACAACGGATCAAGGAAGGAATTTCGAAAGCAACCTATTCCTCAAACTTCTTCAAACTATGGGAATACAGAAGACGCGTACAACAGCATACCATCCTCAGTCAAACGGAATAATCGAACGATGGCATCGTACATTAAAGACTGCACTCAAAACTCGTTTATCTCAACATACAAAGTGGATTGATGAGCTACCTACAGTGCTACTCGGACTACGAGCAACACCGCGTGCAGACACTAGTCTTAGCGCCGCTCAGCTAACCTACGGCTGCAGCATAAGGCTGCCGTGTGACTTCTTCAGTTCAGCAGCGTCAAACAAGCAAGAAATGGATTACGATTTCGTAACTAAACTTCGAGAATCAATTAACAAAGCCTTATCGTTGAAATGCACCGAAATGCAATCACACAGAAATAATAAATCAGTATTCATTCACCAAGATTTGAAAACATGCAAACAAGTTTTTGTAAGAAACGACGCAATGAAAAAACAATTTCAACCTACCTACGATGGACCGTATAAAGTATTAGAGAGAAATAGCAAGACTTTTAAACTACAAATACCCGGAAGGAAATCTACGATTATATCGATCGACCGACTAAAGCCTGCCTATATTATTAACGAGGATACTGCAGAGGATTCATCATCATCATCAAAACCACCAGCGAGGAAGCTTGAAACTTCATCATCTACATCAACCCAGTTGAAACCTATTTTAAAAACTACGAAATACGGGCGAGTCGTCAAGCCTCCGGTACGCTTTCGCTGGGGGGAGAGTGATGTAGCAGCCAGATTAATCAAACCTAAACGGGAATAAATAATATATACTCCGCTGCTACCATAACGCGGAAGGCGAGAATAAATAAAAAAAACATTTTATTTCCTAATTATTCTTGGCTACTGAGATACTGCGGACTGTATATAGATAATATGACGTTCTTATAAAGAAACAAGAAGCAGCCGCAAATATCATTCAGCGCCACACCGACTTCACACGCCGCTATCGTCACGTATCCGTCGACCAATGGTGAGCCGTTTCTTCAACGCCGCAGTTCGTTTCCTCTTGCTGTTCCGGAGCTGTATTCCACACCGCCACCGCCCGCCGACTACGCGTGCGCACCGATCTGCATGTCTTATATAGCCCGGTCCAGCGACGTAGCTTCGTGAACAACAAACAATTCTCACGCCGGGAAACGAAACGTAGATAATTGTATATTTTAAATAGTTTTCATTGGTCATAAAATAAGCAATATAATTGGCTAGGCAAAATATTAATTGTTACCATTGGCAAATCAATAGTGAGCCAGCCATATAAATATAGGCAAGGTTGATGCAAAAGATATTCCATTCCGAATCCCATTCGACAGTACATTCATAAACATAAACAGTAGTTTCATTTCTCCACCTTGAAGAAAACCACTCGGAGTCTGTTAATAGTGGACAGTTCGTCTCCACTATTACAAGTCTGATTAAAAATTAAAAAGTAAAGTGTATGCTTGCAAAAGTCTCACGACTGCGCACAGGGCTCCTTATTACCTTATTATACCTTATGACGTGTTTTGTGGGCAGTATAAGCTAGCTAATGATCGCTAGCTACTTGAGCTCTATGATCTAGATTTTTTTGGAGAGGATAAAATAACAGCTTATTAACAGGAAGCTTCTGAAATCAAGTAGAAAACAAGTACTTAAAATGTTAGAGTACCTAAAGGCAGCCACTACAGTTACAGACTATAAGACATTCATTTAAAAAATACTAAGACAAATATGTAAGTCCAACTTCGAATAAGTGGATCTCTCTAAGTGGAGGAAAACTCTAAGATAAAATAAAATTTAAACCATAACAACTCAATTACGAAACAAGTTGACAGGGTATTTGTGTGGTGACGGTATAGTCGTTATTAATAAATTTGTTTTTGTAAGTTTATGTACTCGTAAAAGTTCAAATTGTTTTTATAGTTGTTCATTAATACATATGAAAAAATTAAAACAAGAAAAAATATATTGTCAAATTTTGCGCAGTACATTCTAAGACCAACAAAGAAAGAAAAACTGACCGTTGCGTACACATTTCAGTCGTGGTAGAGCCATGCTGCAGTTATATTAGTAGTATAGTTGTAGCACGAATGGGTCGGCTCGACCGGGGAAGGACCACGCTCTCACAGAATACCAGCGTGAAATAGTAGCTTAATGCTGCTGTATTTCGTATGGTGAGTGTAGAGAACCGGAGACCCTTTTTACTGAAAATGAGGCATTCCATCTTAGTCCTCACGGGTGACAACGCATCTGCATTTTGATTTGTAATGGAAGATAGATGTAGATGTCTATGGGCCGCAGCAACCACTTACCATCAGGTGGACTGTGTGCTCGTTTGTCAGCCTATTCTATAAAAAAAAAAAAAACATTTCAAGTGATGCATAAACTATGCCAAAACCATGTTCAACTTATTATGTAACACGCACTTACGTACGTATGATTTTAGATTCATATGTATCTAAAATCATTTGTAACCGAGAACTTGGTTTAACACTTTCACTGTTCGGTTTGCAGACACAATAGTACAATATTGTAGGACAATAGTAATTCATTATGTGTAATGCACAGGATAGTGAGTGGGTTAAGGTGCATATTTCTGCTTCCAGCAGTCAACTTTTATAGGCTGATAAAAAAGAAAGAAGAAAATGTATGCGTGAGTGCGTCAAGAAGTTGAGGATGATTTAGGAATCACTTCAAATGTACGCCGTGGCCCGTCTTCTTCTTCATTTTTCTTTGTTCTTCCACCATAACCTGCATACTGTTTTTATATTGGGAGCAGCTATTCATGCCTTGTGAGACCAGTATCACTGTAATCAATATGATCTCTTGTTATAGCTGCTTTGGGATATTTCTACTACTACGCCCTCTCTCTACACTTGCAATGAATTGCATGATTTGCTTAGATATGAGGTAGGTGGGAGGTATTCCTCTGAGTTTTGTAATTTAATGAAAGGATGCTACGTTGTGTGTGTAGTAGTGTACGTAGTATGCAGAGGTGTTTCGTCTGCTAAAGCTCCTGTCGCATTAACAATGTTGCAAAAATTTTTATCAAATTTATTGCGCTAGAACTTTTCACTTCCAACGATTTAGTGCCAACCCACCATGTTTTTAATATTTAAGATTGTTTTAGATTCTTGCATCATCATCATCATTACATCCTATCAAAAGTTTACTGTAAGCCATCGGCAAACATATTATAAGTATTATATATATAAGTATTCTTCTGTGCGTGTGTTTGCGTGGATCCCTCGGTGATTTAGATTAGGTAGATGGCGCTGTTGTTGAGATTCAGAAATCACCCGTGCGAAACCTGTTCGTTTCGCTAGCATATATAATGAACGATGTCCTGCGTTTCCCTTGATTATATCAGAAACCCATTGATTGTTGATTTTTGCTTTCACTTTTTGTTTTAAATTTTTAGCGGACATTAAACAACATTACGTCTTTAACATCTGTGTCTTAATTTCAATAAAATCATCCATAATAAACTTATTTTTAAAAAAACCCAAATTAGTAAACGCAGTCTCCATCGTCTTAACTCACTTATTAAGTCAAAGATACGTTCAAATTATGCCATAAAATATATCACATCTTAATACAAGCTTAGAATACGTTTACTTTATGATATTTTACTCTCCCTAAAGTGGATTTTTTCTATTTTTTTTATAATAATCTCGTTAAACCTAGTCTGTTATTAGCGCCTACTATCTTACATTATGTAATGCTGTTTCAATTATAATATTTTACTTGCTGGCACAGCAGGAGTTGATCTGCACTTTCCGGTAGGTGTCGCAAAGAGTTCCACTCCGAATTCGCATCGGACTCTTTACAGGGTAAATATCAGATGACTAAAGCACCACTTTTAGGGTCCAGATTTTTTATTTAATTTTTGGCACTAAACCAACACATATTGTTTGGTTGCTAGGGTTTGATCCAATATTATTAATCGCGACATTACGGACTAAATGTTGAGGAAAATCATACTGGAGAAATTTTCATACTAAGAGTAAGAGACATGAACAATAGTTTAAGAAATATTTAAATGCATGTCACCTGTATGTTTACCACTGTTTATAAAATAAAATATAAGCAAACAGGTTGGTATTGTGTATTACAGTTTGAGCACGAATGTGGCCACATTGAAGGAGGAGAAGGAGGACTTGAGAAGAACCACGCTCGCACAGAAATCCAGCGTAAAATAGAAGTGAGTGCGGAGTACGAATAATCTTTTTACTAGTATTGAGGTATTAAGTATACATTGCTTTGCCTTTGAGAAGTGATGAAAGCCTTTGTGAATGATTAATCTAGGTAATAATAGTATAGTTATTATATATATTATATTATATCTAGTATATATTTTTATATATAAGTATAAAATATAACTCTCAATATTTGACGGCTCCGTGGCGTAGTGCAATAGCAATGAGTTACAGCGCTAAGGGCCGCGGGTTCGAATCCCACACGGAACAAGTATTTGTATGGCCTACAAGTACCTAATTGTTCCGGGTCTGGATGTTTGTCCTTGTGAAAATTGTGTTTGTAAACTGCCCCCACAATATAGGAGAAAACCCTAGTGTGGAGGTAACGTGTTTTAAAATGAATTAAAAAAATAATTTCCAACATTAAAATCTACTTGAGCGGTTTTTGTAAAGTAACGTATTAGTAAAACCTATAAATTCTCTAAAGTTAAACGATTTTAATAATACATATAAATTTCACCTTATTGTAGCTGTGAAAAAACTTATAGGTAAACTTTATAAAATATATAAATTGCCCTTAATAACAATAAGAGAATGTCTAGTGTACTTTTAAAAATACTTTTCACTATAAAAGCCAGGATTATCCTCTCAAATATGGTCGATCTCTTCTGTTCAGTTCGTAAGAAGGTTACATTTCCAGTC